CTCCATATTTCTGATGGGTTATTTTTTATTGTTTTTATGTCTTTTTTCATGCTGTCGAGTATCCTTCTAATCCTTACTCTAAACTCTCTATCTGATAAATTGCTTGCCTCCATTTTATCTACTTCTTCTTTTGGAGAATTCTCTTGTTCTTTTCTGGGGACTGTTTCTTTGCCTTCTAATTTCAGCGAATTCTTTGTATTTGTTTCTATGTATTAAGTTGATGTGCAAAGATTGGTGCAGACCTTTTCAGATGGCTCTTGTGACTGATCCAACCTGTTTGGAGCTGTCAGTGATCTATAGCATGTGGCTCCCTTGGCTTAGTCTGTTTGTGCGCAGTAAGATCCAGGCTGTGTACCAAGCATCAGCTTCTCCCAGTGCTGGACCCAGGGAGAGTCAGCTAAAGTGTCAGAGCCCTCAGAAATATGCCTTAGTTGTTAAACTTAATCAGTAATATAGCCTTAAGCTGTACTCAGAAGGCTGGCTTAAGCTCCACAGCAGGGGCAGAGTAATTTCTGCAGGCAGGACTGTTGTTTCCCTTCAGGCTGATGCCATTTGGAGGGGAGTGCTCTGCCTGAGAAAGATGGCATCTGCGGTATGGGGATTGACTCAGTACAGGGACCCTGGAGGCTGTTCTTTCAGTTCTCTCCCTAGAGCCACCATCCCTCTACTTTCCTCACATGTCTTTAGTCCACTCTGCCCTCCCTCTGCCACAGCCCACAGTATGTGACTGCAAATGGAATTTTGTGCATTGGCCCTTTAAGAGGCTTTCTGTCTCTCCAACCATGTCAACCTGACAGGTGGAAACCCTGTTGCTTTTCCCAGCTGGATGTTATCTCTATTTCTTTCCTGGCTTTGGTACTATAGTCTGAGGAGTTCAGCTTGAGATTTAGGCACCACACTTCTCAGGAGGAACCACCAATTGCTGAAATATTGCTCCAGAACTTCAGCTGCCATCCATAAGAGCTCAGCCAGCCCTCTTGTACCTCTCTGCACTCCCTACCAGTCATGTTGTGGTGACTTGCTTCCTTCCATCTGTCTGTGGTTATAAGTCTTTTCTCCTGCTAGTGTTCAGTTGGTTATTCTAGATGGTTTCTCTACAATTCAGTTGTAATTCCACACTGGCCCCAGGGGGGAGATTCCTGTAGCTTCCATTTACTCCTCTGCTCTCTAGGGTCTAGTATATGGTATTCTAAAGGATAAAAATTGATTTATTTGAGATTATTTTTGACCATATAGACTTTGTAAAGTTAATGTGTACACTCAGAGATACACATAGATTAGTAGAAACTGTGGCCTTCATGGACATTAGAGTGTTGGAAGAAGAACACACTCAGAATGGATCATTGAGGGTGCCTCATTTGTTGGCTCCTGGCATTGGGCATGGGTGAGGAAAATGCAGCCTCAGCTCTGGCTGGGAGTCTGTTTTCTTCCTCATATAGTCATAGTGTGGGGAAAAGCACAGAGCAGCATGGGGCATTTTTCTGTCATGTATTTTGACTGTATCTGTTGGGAACCACCCTGCCTGGTTTCAGGAGCTGTAGTTTCTCATGGCTAAGGCTGAGTGAGTGACCTTCAGACCAGAAGTCACTAAGGAGACAAAGCTTATCTGCCTGGCAGGGGCACTGCTTCTGACCACTTTATTTCAACCTGCCTGGCCCCCAATGCTTGATTGGTTAGCCAATGATGGGTAAAATTCCTCAAGGGGGGATTGACCTCAGACAGGCACAATGACATGGGAGACACCCAAGGAAGGACTTGGGGGGCTACAGCAAAAGGCAGTGATGGACCCTTACCCCTCGGCTTTGACAAAGCCTGAGTCCTTATCCTGTCTTCCAAAAGTCTCCTAATCTCTTTCCTGCCTTACTTCCCCTGCCTGACTTAAGCCTGAAACAATGACAGAGGGTGGTGCAGCCCTGTGCTGCAAAAGGCGGGTTCTCTGGGCAATCAGGCCTAAGAAAGAATATGTAAAATCTTGTGAAACCTGCTTTGTTTAGAATGCTCTCAATTAAATAAGGGTCCAAGCAAGAAGTGAGTTTGTTCCTCAAAAGTTTTATTGCTCTTTAGCTATCTGAAACTGACTCAAAGTAGGCCCTCAGACTTCTTTGTTATCTATTGTTTAATCCTTACTGCCTGACAATAATTAATGAGCTTTACCTGTATTCTTGTGCAAATGAACCCAATAAAAGCCCAATGAGGAAAAGGCTCTTGGCCCTTCTCCTTTGAGAGATTGGCCACCTTTCCTGCCCGAGCAGATCATGTCTCAGTAGATGTATTCTCATCCCTGGTGGCCAGGGAGGAGGGGAACCTGAGGGCAGAGCACCCCTCCACTTTTATCCAAGTAAAAACTCAGTGTGAGTGCCTCCACCATCTCTTTTGTAAGAGAGACCTTGAAACAAGATTTTCTCTTGGTTGGTTATCATAACAATTAAATGAGATAATATGGCATATTATTTAGAAGAGGTTTTAACATATAACAAGTGCCCGAGAAGTGTTAACTATTATTAGTTTTCTGACCAGTAGTTTATCTTCTTCCTAAGTTTTGAAGGGATTCTGGTGAGGTTTTAGTCACTGTACCTTGCTGGAATTTAGGGGATTCTGTATATATATGGAAGGGGGAATTAATAGGAAATATTCATGGTATTTTTTTTATAGCAGTGTGATTGTGGTCCACATGTATGACACTGAGATGTAATGCCATATTGCACCATGAAATCTAGATGAACGTGTTTGCTCTCAATTGTTGCACACATTAGAGCATTACACTATACCTGATGCTCTTCCATAGAGATTAATTATGTGTCCTATTCCACACGTATTATTGGTTTAATTTTAACTTGTTTTTGTAGTTTTGAAGATTGACAGTGATTTGCACTTAAGGGACCCTTTCCCTGAGGGTCAAAATTACAGTTTAAGTCCCTAACTGTGTACCATACTCATCTTAACATCTTCAGCACAAGAGAGGAAATGTTTGTCACTTGGTTTGTGAGCTAAACCTAGGCTCTGGTTACTTGAAAATTAAAATGGGTATATTTCCCAGAAAACAATTATTTTAAAGATCTAGCTAAATCATTTGGCTTCTAAATAGAGAATGATTTAGTAGACCATATTCCTGTCCCCTTACTGTTTCAAATGTTTTTGGCTTTTAGTACTGAGAGACAGTTGATGGAGAAATTAGACAATATCCCCTGGAACACCAAGCTTTGATGTGTATGAAAGAATACAGAGAGAAGTAATGGTAGTCTTGCTCTCTTTCTACTCTCTCTGTCTCTTTCCCCACCCCTCCCTCATTCACTTTGTGCCTTTCTCCACATCAGCTTCTGTCATGTAATATAGATTTTATACCCATAAAGGAGCTCCCTAGTTTTCACCCTAATTTTGAGGGTTGAATTCATGTGTCCCTGAGTTGGTCATGGGAAGTCAGCATGTGTAGACTGTCTCTGCTCAGTGAATGAGGTGAGTCCTTTTAGATTTGTTTTGGGTTTACCATGAACTAGTTTCCTGTTATCAGCCTAGAACATTAGAAAGGAGTGTTTCCAGGTTGATTTTTCTGTTTTAACTTTGAAGTGGGCAAATAACTCTTTTTTTGTGGGGGAGGGGTCAAGTAATGAGAAAAGCATAACCTTAGCATATTGATTTATTTTCACTTCTTAAAAATTTGTTCATGCTATAGACAAAATACCAAGTTCTGTTTTCAGTCCAGAATCTCTTTACTCAATTTTGATTATATAATATGTCTATAGCACCATGAGTGCATCTTTCTAGGGAGGAGGGCAAGAATAAAATGTGTTACCTTCCATATATATGACTTTTCTTTAAGGACAGGTCTGGGTGTCATTGAACATCAGACTTATAGGATATTTAATGTAACCACTTACTCCATCCTACTACTAGAGGGAACTTGGAAAGTTTACACTTGCCTGTTTCTCAGTGTGGGGATGGACTGATCTTCTAGGGTTGTAGCCAAATCAAAGTGATAACATATGATATTTTTACTACATATATTCATGTGTCAACATATGTCTTATTTAAATTTACATACATACATAAACAATAGTAGGTATTAAAAAACATTTCTGTAACATCATTTGAAATATAATGATAATGATCTGTTTTAGATAAGATATACCATAGTTTAACATTGCCCCATTTATGATAATTATTTTTTCCCATTGTGAATATTATAAATAATGCTTAAGGTAGCTTTGAATATATTTTTTCACAATTTGTAAATGTAATTAAGCATCTCTTATAACAACTTACAAGAATAAAATCTCTCATAAATATATCAGTTAGCTTTTATTATTATCAAGGTTAAGACTTTGAATATATGTTGCCTAATGGCTTTGCAGAAAATTCATACCAGAGTTATATCTTTCTGAGTCATTACTATTATTGATTACTATTATTATAATTAAGTCACTTTGTTAATTTGACAATTAAAAATGATGATGGATTTCAGTATATATTTTAAATCTTTTTATTTTTCATTCTGAATAATTCCAAATTTATAGAGAACTTAGAGCCCCTGTTCTCAGAGATTTGTCACACTCCCCAGAAGAGAACTAGAGAGAACCTCACATGCTGAAACTTTATGGTAATGATAGGCAGACCTAGGAAATTAATGTACATAGGATCACAGTTGTCTGATTTGAACAAAATTTGTTACATTTTTCAGGGAGCAGGAGTTGATCTCATGAGGCTTTAAAAACTATCATTGAATCTGTTTGAAACTCCATCAAAACATCTATTTAATTAATCAACTCAATGCATTGTGGTAGGTAACAGTTGAAAATTATACATATTTCTGCTGATACTTTAAATTTGGTCAGGGGGATTGGCTGCCACACTGAGAATTTAGATTTATTTGACAATTGTATTTCAAATACATTGTGTTAGACATCAATGAGATTTTTTAAAGTTAATGTAATTATGTGTTTTCTTTCTTATTCCCATTTCAGAAGACACACAAAACTTATCATTTGGCTTTCTAAACCAGACATATGGTGGAACCTAGGGAGGGAAACTGCACCATTGTGATGGAGTTCATTCTCCTTGGATTATCAGATGCCCCTGAGCTGAGGGTCTTTCTTTTCATGGTGTTCCTTCTCATCTATGTAGTCACGTTTTTGGGCAACCTGGGCATGATTGCACTGATTCAGGTCAGCCCTCGACTTCACACTCCCATGTACTTTTTCCTCAGCCACCTGTCCTTAGTGGATTATTGCTATTCCACAAATATTGTGCCAAAGATGCTGGTTAATATTATAAATGAAGACAAAGCCATCTCTTTCCTGGGATGCATGGTCCAGTTTTATTTATTTTGTGCCTATGGAATCATTGAGGTCTTCCTGCTGGCTGTGATGGCCTATGACCGCTTTGTGGCCATCTGTAATCCACTGTTGTACATGGTCACCATGTCCCAGAAACTGCAAATGGTGCTGGTTTCTAGCTGCTACCTCTGTGGGACTGTGTGTTCTCTTATCCATTTGTGTTTAGCTCTAGAGATCCCATCCTACAAATCAAATGTGATTAACCACTTCTTTTGTGATCTGCCCCTGCTGTTATCTCTTGCTTGTTCTGATGTCACTGTGAATGAACTGTTGGCATACATTGTGGCCACTTTCATTGAGATCATTGCCATTGTGGTTATATTTACCTCCTACTTGTTTATTCTCATCACCATCCTGAGGATGCGCTCTGCAGAGGGAAGGCGCAAAGCCTTTTCCACCTGTGCCTCCCACCTCACAGCCATTGTTGTCTTCCATGGGACAATCCTTTTCACTTATTGCCGTCCCAGTTCTGGCAACAGTGTGGATGCTGACAAGGTGGCTGCAGTGTTCTACACTGTAGTGATTCCCATGCTGAACCCCCTGATCTATAGTCTAAGGAACAAAGATGTGAAAGAAGTTCTCAGAGAAGTGGTGAGCTCCAAAATATTTTCCCAGAGAATATTTCAAAGTGGAGGCTGGTGGAGAGATGAATTTGTGAGCTGCAGTGTTCAAGTGGAGAGGACAGCCAAAGGGTAGATCATGAGTGAGTTGTCTGATTCACTGATTTTTATATTTATTTTTGATTACCTACCCATCAGTATACCTATATTATGAATTTATATGCTAGTTTGACCAGGAGCATATCTCAATTCTTTTCATCAGGCAGCCTTTATAAAATAAGTGAGTAGGTTTCTTGTAAGTATTGAGAGCTAATTGTGTTTTGGGGCTGGTATGTTGTTTTAAATCAACTGTGAATATTAATGATAGTTTAAACAAAGAAATAACAAATCAAGATTATTGGGCATGTCAGGGAGGATTCATGTTTCTCCAATAGTAGTAATATTTAGTAACAGATGCCCTCATACACACTATTATGTAATTTTAAATATTTGCAACATTATATTTATCTTTTAAAAAGTCTCTCATTAATATTTCTTGAATTACTTATATTTTCTTCTTGTGTCCTGTACTCCTTGTATGAGCACAAAATTCCAAATTGTTCAGACTAATTGGGTAGAAAGATTGTATTTGTTTTTTCAAAGTAAAATGAAAACTGTATACAATCTTGTACTGGTTCATGAAATAATTTAGTATGGTTATATGATTTTAAACCTACAACTTTAAATTAAAATAAAATTTCCAGGTCTTTGGATCTGTAATGTAACCAAAATGTTTTATACATATACAGATAAGCTATCTTCCCTTGTATATTGCTATTAACTTAATTTTTAACTTACCTGGATGAAGATGAACATTAGCAAACATGTTTTATATTGCTCTGGGTTGGAATCAATGAACAATTTGTGTTTAAAATGTAAGTCTTTATGTTTTCTCTCTATCTTGGTATAAGATGATTACATTTTTTTGTTAATTTGGAGATGAAATCTTAACTTTATTCTTAGGAAATGAAATTAGATTGTTTAAGTGCTCTGACCAGTGTATTAAAATCAGTAAGTGGTAAAATAAAGGCAATAAATTTAGATTTTAACTACAGAAGTATGGTACTTTTCAATAAATACTGATGTAGCATTTTATGTCGTTCCATTCTGTCACTTTAGATTTCAAATCATCATTGGGACCCCTCACATCTGCTATGCAGAGCATGAATTGTATTAGTGCTACCTATTTTCTGTTACTCATGTGATTCTTCAATGAATTAGTTTTTGAAATCTATAACTTTGATAGAATTTTAATTGACTTCTAAAATAATTCATCATAAATTGAACTTGAATATTATTTTCAGTGTATATCACAGCTCTCATGTCCATCATAATTTTTTTGACATTCATGGATCATAAGATTACTATTATTTCTTTTGTCCTTGAGTCATACCTTGTTCTGTTGCTGATCTCAGAGAAAATGCTTTCAGTTTCCATCACGGAGAATGATGTTAAACATAGGCTTGTCATATATGCCCTTTATTATGAGGTACATTTCACATTTTTATCATAGGTGTAGGACAGTGGTAGAATGATCTGGTTGTGGAAACACTTACAAAAAAATTTTGAACTAAAAGCTGTTGTTTCTTATATAGCTTAAATTATAAAAGAGTGTGATTAGTATTTATTGTGCACCCATATTATCAGGCTGCTGTACTTGAGGATATGTTTGGTGGTAGACTACCTTATAGGCAGAGTAAACTGCAATTTTTCATGCACTCTCTTCCTCAATGTTCATTTTAGCAGTTTAATAAATATATTCCTTTCATTTCTTGTTAGAGACACATCTGATAACTTATTTGATTTAAAATGGAATTCTTATGCTGTCCTTAGAGTAATTTGCTTTCTCAGCTTCAGAGAAGGTTTAAAAAGTCTGTAGTATTACTCATTAAATGACAACTTAAAAAACATATTTCAATTACATTTAGTGGAATTTTGTTTAAACCAATGTAATCAGACTTTTGGCTAAAGTATAGGAGATGGCTAACTAGAAAGAGATTGCTTCCAATATTACAACACAAGAAGATAGAGACTCTGCAAACTCAAAATTTTTCTGGACCCATCAGATAGCAGAAGGCACTGGGTAACCCAATGACACAAGCATAGAGTTCCAAGCAATGGAATTCCAATGCTAGAGGAGGGGATAGGATCTGTAGGGAGGTCTATATGCAAACAGAAGCTCTAAAGCTTAGGGTGGATTAAATATTGACATCTCTGGCAAACCAAGTACCACCATAAAATAAGATGACTCTTGATGAATCTGAAGTCTGTGGAACTCAGAGGTAATCATCCTGTCAACAAAACTGGAGCCTATCTTCAAGCACTAGAGTTAAAACTAAACAAAAGATATAAATCATATTTAGGCAAAATGCCATTTACTTGAATTTCTATTGATCTTCAAATAATATGTATTTAAAAAAAATGTAGATGCAGCACAAATAAGTGGGAGAAAATGAGTGGTGACAGGAAAACAAAGATATTAACAAACACAGATTTAGATAATGACTTAGATTTTAGAGTTATTAGATATTCTATCTAAAATGACACTAGTTCTATGGGTATTAGTGGAAAAGGTGTCAACATGTGGGAATAGATGGGACATTTCAACAGGATCTTGGCAACTAATTCTGAAAAATTAAATTTGCTAGAAATAATAGTGCAAAAACAGAGATAAAGCATGTCCTCATGGGCCCAGCAGTACGCTAAACATACTCAAGGAAAGCATTAGTGAATGTACAAACAGACTACTAGAAAATGCTCAAAAATGACACATGGGAAAAAAGGAAGACTCAAGGGAAATATTTAATGTATATGCCAACATCAAGTAGTCAAAGTCACTATATTTGAAACTCTGAAAATAAAAATGGAAAGGTCAGGGAAAAGGTAGTGTGTGTGGAGATAATGGCTAAGAATTTTCTAAAATTAGCAAAAGACACTGCACCACAAGTCCAAGAGTCTCAGATCACACCAAACAGAAGGAACACACAGACAACACAAAAGGAAAAAAGTAAGTACTGAATGTCTTCACAGTGAATAATGTAGTTGTGGAGTGCTCTCAGTCCCATTGTGGGATGTTAATCATGCCCATGGCCTCTGCACTCTAGATGCCAGGAGAACCCCCTTCTTTTCATGATTATCAGAAGCAATCTGCAATTAATTGCCAAATGTCCCTTGTATATATGTGTGTGGTGGGGTGGGTATAATACCACCTCCAATTTTAAATAACTCATCTAAAGAAAAAAGATAAACATTGGAACAGATTTCTTGCCTAAAACTGAAAGTGAGAGAAAAAGAGATTGAAAAATAAAAGTGTTAAAGAGGAAAAACAATAACATAACTCCCACCACAGAACAGTATATATAATAAAATATCTTTCAAAAAGTAAATGACAAAACTATTTTAAACTAGCAAAAACTAAGGGAATTTATTTTCAGCACACATGTATTAAAATAAGTATTAAAATATGTTACCCAGGAAGAGGGAAAATCCTATCAGACAGAAATTGAAATTCACACACACCCACAGACACACACACACACACACACACACACACACGCACGAAAACACTGGCAGTTGCATGCTAAATGTAAATTTGAAATGTATTTTCCTTATTTTCAACTGTTTTAAAAATATCCTTGCAAGCTAGGGGAAAGTAGAATAATATAAAGTGCTGAAGAATAAAAACAATACCAAAAATTAAGATTTATAGACTCTATGAAAGCATAATGTAGGAAAATAATAGCATAGAGAATAAGACAGTATGTAGGACTCTATTGTTTCCTGATCCATACAATTTACAATTTATTAAATAATCCATAACCTATCAAGTAAGTTTATTGTTAAGTCCTAAAAACCATAACAATTTTATAAAGAAGAAAAAATAATGTCAAAAAGGATTAAAAAATTCTCATTTCAAAGGATGACAGAAAATTGTATGAAAGAATCAAAAGTAGGTTAAATAAATAGAGATAAGGTATTTAAGTAAGAGATTTAATTCAATCATATCAATAATATCCTTAACTGTAAATAGTCTAGAAACAACAATTAAAATACAGAGAATGCCATATTTGCCATATTGGACAAAAAGGCAAAACAAAATACTGTGCTATCTAAAGAAACTCCTTAATTATGAAGACATCAGTTAAATATAAAAGGATAGAAGGAATTTCATATGGATATATTAAAATAAAACAAAGACTTTAGAACAAGGCATATTACAAAGGGTAAAGGAACTATAGCATAATGAGGAAGAAATCATCAATTCATCATTGTACATAATAATCTTAAACTTGTTGGTCAAATGATTGAATATTGTTAAGATACAATGACTCCCTAAGCTGATCAATAGATTCAATAAAATTCTGCTAAAAATCTTCCAGGACTTTCTACACTGACAGGGTGATGCTAAAATATGTACAATAAAGAGCTAGAAAAATTGGAAGTCAAACTATTGTAAGTAGGGAACTGCCTGTACTTCAAATGGAAAATTACAAAGTGTTGTACTTTGTACTAGTAGTATAAGGTAAGCATATATATGTTGGAAAAAGTCAAATCATTGTTAAGATAACGAGAATGGTTTGCATGGCATTGATGTAACCTGGCAGCCAAGGAAAGTGGACTGGAATGTGCATGGATGAACAGTGGTGACTTCACTGTACTAGTCAGTGGGGGTGGTATATGCTGTTGAATGAACCTCTGTACTGTGTGGTCATTGCATTCAAAGTGGCTGAGCAAGTGGAGCAAAGATTCTGCATCAAATTTTTCATTAAGCTTGAACCTTCCCTTGCAGAAACTATTGGGATGATTCAGAAGGCCACTGCTATGGGCAACTAGTGATTGGCAGCTTCATCAAGACAACACATCTCTGCCCTGGCTGGCGTAGCTCAGTGGATTGAGCTCGGACTGTGAACAAAAGTGTCACAGGTTCCATTCCCAGTCAGGGTACATGCCTGGGTTGCAGGCCATGACCCCCAGCAACCGCACATTGATGTTTCTCTCTCTCTCTCTATCTCCCTCCCTTCCCTCTCTAAAAATAAATAAATAAAATCTTAAAAAAAAAAAGACAACACACCTCCTCATGCATCATTCCTCCACCAT